TCGAGTAGCTTGGATTACAGGCATACACCACCACCACCCCTCTCCAGCTAATTTTTGTATTTTTAGTAGAGACAGGATTTTACCATGTTGGCTAGGATGCTCTCCATCTCCTGACTTTGTGATCCACCCTCGTCAGCCTCCCAAAGTGCTGGGATTACAGGCATGAACCACAGTGCCCAGTATGTTTTACTTTATTAAATTAATGGACTCTTAACTATTTGAATAATAGACTACTGTACCATTATATTATATGGGGTATACTACATACACAATGTTAAAGCAAACTAAATATGGCCAGAGAAGGACTCTGTACTTGAGTCCTTTTGGACAAACTACAACCTAACTTACTAGGTAGACAAGATTGAAACCTAACTTAGAAGTCTGTGCCTCTAACAATAGATGAGTCTTGATCAATACCAGCAGCCATACTTCAACCACTCATACCCTACTGACTGTTCAAACTATGTTCAAATAAGGCAGAATGCCAACCTGTAACTAATTCAGCTGTTTCTGTATCTCACTTTCAATTCCTGTATGTCACTTTACTTTTTTCTAAAAATCTGTTCTGATCCATAAGAGCACCCCTAGAGCCCCTCTGAATCTGCTGTGATTCTGGGGGCTGCCCAATTCACAAATTGTTCATTGCTCAATCAAACTCTTTTAAATTTTATTTGGCTGAAGTTTTTCTTTTAACAATACGTATAGATATACAAGCAGAATATTTTAAAGACTAGATTAAAAGGGAAAAATAATATGTTTAAATATTTATTTTCCAGTTATTGATATATAAAATACTTGCTCTTAATAAAGTTATTAATTTTTCAGTGAAAGCTATATAATTCCATATGCTGAAATTGGGTGAAAGTCTTACTGTAATATTTTGTGACCTAAAAATTTAGTTAAGCTTCTTAAACTTGGTTCTAAAGGCTATCAGAGCTTAAAATTATACTTCACAAAAATCTGTATTATTAATGGAAAAGAGTACATGAAAGGCAGCACTTAAAAAAATCATGATACTAATTTTTCAATCCTGTCTAACAATTATGCAAATGTTTTGTTGAGATTCATAAACTTGATGTCTTATTAGATATTTGTTTTTGACACCAAATCAGAAGTTGAATTGTTACATTTTTAGCAATGAGTTAATGACCCACGGAAATTCTTTATTTAGAAAATTTATAAACATGTATAAAATGCTACCAAGGGTTTGTTTTTTGTTTTTTGTTTTTTTTTTTTGACAGAGTCTTGCTCTGTCACCAGGTTGGAGTGTAGTGGCACAATCTCAGCTCACCGCAACCTGCACCGCCTGGGTTCGAGCGATTCTCCTGCCTCAGACTCCCGAGTACCTGGGACTACAGGCGCATACCAACATACCCAGCTAATTTTTGTATTTTTAGTGGAGATGGGTTTTCACCATGTTGGCCAGGATAGTCTCCATCTCTTGACCTTGTGATCTGCCCACTTCAACCTCCCAAAGTGCTGGGATTACAGGTGTAAGCCACCACGCCCAGCCGTTACCCAGTTGCTTTTGTTTGTTTGTTTTGAGTTTTATTTTTAGTGAGAAAGTCTTGCTTTGTTTCCCAGACTGGACCCAAACTCCTGGGCCTAAGCGATCCACCCTTCTCAGCCTCCTGAGATATTGGGACTAACAGGCACCCAGTTAGTATGCTTGGTTTAAGATTTTTCTCTTTTGTTTGTGTATTTTTAATTAAGAAGCAATTATAAGGATATTTATAAGTGACATATTTACATCTACTGCTAACATGAAGCAAAATCACATAAAAATATAAATGTTTCTAAAGATTCGTTTTCAAAATACTTTCTACTTTTGTTTCTTTTAAAAAGACAGTTGATGAATCACTCATTGATAAAACACAAATTTTATCTTAATGGAAGGAATTTAAACTGTCTTTAAAAAGAATCTACCTGGTAGCATTCTACGGAGACATACCTGTAATTGCAGCAAAGTTTAGCAAATTTGGAGCACTTAACTAATTTGCAATGTAAACTCAATTTTTTATTTCAACAACTGCTTCAAGTTGTTTGAGAAGGATAACCAGTAGAACACAACCATTTCGTGGTCATTGTCTGCCTCATTACAAAGTATTTGAAGGTTATAATATTGAAAATAGTAAGTTTTAAGGTAACTTAATGGGACAGGGAAATCACAATCCATAGCAAAACAGTGAAAGTGAATCCAAGAGTATTGGAGTAATTCTCAAAGAGCTTGGACCCTCGTAATATGCCCTGGGTATAACATAGACACTTGGTATGATCTGAACTTTGCTAATATACAGAGGGTGTGAAGGTACCAATGTAAATATCTATGTTAGTGATTAGTAAAGCTTAATTTCTTTTCTATTTTTTAGGCAGGAAATAATTATAAATTGGAGGCTTGATAGTTTCATCTTGCACTGTAACAAATTCTTTTATTTTAGAGACCACTCTGTTAAATTGCTATTAAGTGTTTCCCATCTTTTTAAACTTTTTATTCTGGTTGTCTTCTCCTAACATAATATTTACTATGACATGGATAGCTTTTCATATTTTTGCCAACCAATGTGCTTTAAGGACAACAAGAAATAAACATGGAAAGCACAGACATCTTCCAAATATACTACAGATTCATGCAGATTATTTTCAGGGTTTCTCATATCAATTGAAGTTAATAATAAAAGTTAGTTAAATTTTTTTTTTCTACACTTGATCTGAAAGAACAAAACCATGGCCCTTGCAGCAACATGGATGCAGCTGGAGGCCATTATTCTAAGTGAAGTAACTCAGGAAGGAAAGGAGAACAAATATGGGATATTCTCATTTGTAAGTGGGAGCTAAACATTAGTAGTACTCACGGACATAAATATAGCAACAATAGACACTGGTAACTACAACTGGGGAGGGAGGGAGGAGAGCAATGGTTGAAAAACTAACTGTTGTATTTATGCTCAGTAGCTGGGTGACAAGATCAATTGTACCCCAAACCTCAGCATTATACAATGTACACACGTACGTGTTCCTGCAATGTACCTGCACGTGTACCCCCGATTCTAAAATAAAGGTTGAGCCTGGCACAGTGGCTACTGCCTGTCATTCCAGCACACTGAGAGGCAGAGGTGGGTGGATCACTTGAGATCAGGACTTCGAGACCAGCCTGGCCAACATAGTGAAACCCCTTCTCTACTAAAAATACAAAAATTAGCTGGGTGTGGTGGTGTGCACCTGTAATCCCAGCTACTTGGGAGGCTGAGGCACAGGAATCACTTGAACCTGGAAGGCAGAGGTTGCAGTGAGCAGAGGTCACGCTGCTGTACTCTAGCCTGGGAAACAGAACAAGGCTCCATCTCAAAATAAATAAATAAATAAAATAAAATAAAGATTGAAATTGTAAAAAAGAAAATAATAATTTCTGTGATTAAAAAGCAATTCTACCTCTCTTTATTATTAAGTAGTTCAAAGACAAAATATTGGAAAAATAAAAGAGCACCTTAATAGTTGAGATAAAGTTATACAGTTGACTTTATTTTCAATTCAAAGCGTACTATAACTTCAGTTGCTGGTAGTTCAATTCACACTTGAAGCAAGTCTGAAATTTAACTTAGAATAGTATTCCTAAATATTTTCTAGTAAGATTTACTAGAAATCCATCGTTCATCAGTATTGCCTAGACTTTGCCAACCTACTTTTATTCAAAAAGGAGGCAGGGGGATGGCTGGGGAAATAAACCAGGTCTGAAGTAACATTTTACAAAGATATAAAAACTTTGTTAAAGTTTTGAAAGTCAACGGTCACAAAAAAAAAAAAAATTCGATTCAGCTCATCAAATTTACCTTAGCCTAATCCATATTTACCAACTTAGTTCCTCCTAGCTATTTTCACCATCTTCTATCATTAAACTAAAACTGTAGTCCTCAGTCTTGAAACCAGCAGAAATAACCCCTTGATGGAAGTAATAGCTACCTACCTCTCCAACCACACCTTCTCTGTCTGCTTTGAGGCTTCTTCTTCCTCATTCTTCTCTGTGAATGTTCCTGTCTGAGGTTTGTTCAAGTCTTTACTTTGAATGACCTTGCCTCTGACAATCTCATTTGCTCTGTGATTTCAGTTACTGTCCCTCTGCAGAATAATCCTCAACAGATGACTTTAGAGGAGATTTTTCAAACAACAGGCAGGCATTCCAACTTCCTGCTGTGCATCTACATTTGAATATTCTACAAGCAATGCAAATGTAATGTATACAAAACCAAAAGCATGATTGACCTACACCCTAAATTTAAGTCCTTAATTTCTGTAAATGTTCCATTCCCTACCTACCTTGTCTTGAAGTTCACAGCTTCTTTGAATTGTCCCTCTCCTTTCCCACTGTCCTACCCTTACTATCATCACTTGCACTATTTTCAATGGCTTCTTAAATTGTCTCTTTACTTCCAATTGTGGAACATGTCAACTTGATCATCACTGTAAAGCATGGCTTTAATCATGTCTCATATGTTCTTTAAAAACCTTTGTTTGCTTCTGAATACCCATAGAAGAATGTTCAAATTGCTTCACCTGGCATTCAAGAATTTAAAGATCTGTCAAACTTTTCTGGGTTCATCCCCCATCATTCGATAACTTGTAGCTTATATACTCAAGTTGAATTTTATTACTTAATATTTTCCTAATATAGCACGCAATCTCTTGCTCCTTCATATTTTTCTGATATTGTGTATCCTGTCTCTAGGTAGAAGTACTACACAACCTTAAAAACCCAGTTCAAATTATGCCTTTTCTAAGAAGCTTCAATTCCCAGGTTCAAGCTCTAGCTAGCTATAATCTCTATTCTGATAAGCACCATGGAGTAATGGAAAGGGCATGGGCTTTGAAATTTTATACAACCAGGTTTCAAAGTCATTCTATTAAATTTTTGATGATAGAAAATATATTTTACTACTTTAAATCTTGGTTTTCCATCTATAAAATGGGTATAATACAACTTACCAAGAAGTTCAAAGGAAACTCTGTATGATATGATTGATGTCACCAGGAGAGTCAGCAGGGTGACTTCTAAGAAGCCTGAGAAAGGAGAATTTTCATTCATTCAGATATGTCAAATGTCTACTATGGATCAGACACTTTAAAATAAAGAATAATAAATACAGTCCCTGCCTGCCTCAAGCTAATAGCCTTAGAATATAAATTCACCTGCACCCAGGCCTGGTCCTCTACTTTGCAGACTCAGTAACTTGACCTAGATTTTTAAAATACTTTTTGAGACTGAGTCTCTGTCACCCAGGCTGGAGTGCAGTGGTGCAATCTTGGCTCACTGCAATCTCTGCCTCCTGGGTTCAAGCGATTCTCCTGCCTCAGTCTCCTGAGTAGCTGGGACTACAGGCGTGTACTACCACATCTGGATAATTTTTGTATTTTTAGTAGAGATGGTGCTTCACAGTGTTGGCCAGGCTGGTCTCAAACTCCTGACCTCAAGTTATCTACCTGCTTTGGTCTCCAAAATGCTGGGATTATAGGCATGAGCTACCACGCCTGGCCTTGACCTAGAATTTATTGGACTAATGGATTTGACTCTTAGACATGAAATCATTGAGACTAATATTTGAAAGCAGAATAACCATTTCTTTCTTTTTTTTTTCTCTGAGACAGGGTCTTGCTCTGTCTCCCAGGCTGGAGTTCAATGGTACAATCATGGATCACTGCAGCCTTGACCTCCCAGGCTCAAGCAATCCTCCTACTTCCCAGTCTTCTAAGCAGCTGAGACTACAGGTGCACATCACCATACCTAGGTAATTTTTGTATTTTTTGTAGAGACGTGGTTTCACCATATTGTCCAGACTGATCTCGAAATCCTGGGCTCAAACAGTCTGCCTGCCTTAGCCCCCAAAAGTGGTAGGATTACAAGCGTGATCTACTGTGCCTGGCCTAACAATTTCTTATTTATTTTGAAGATTCAATGGTCAGACAAACTGGTCCCCCAACATTGGTCTAACCACATAGCCATATAAAATCAGAACTAGAAGGAAAACAGATTCAAATATTGAATAGAATTGGGCTATGATAGCTAGATAGATAATCTCCAAAGCAGGAGGGTAGACTTTCTTTCATGATTGTAGATATGTGACATCTAGACTATCCAGACCAAGAGAAGCCCTGGAGTGATCCCCTTCACCTATTTTCCTTTATTTTCTGAAGAAATTGCAGAAGAGGTTCTCAAATGTTCCTATAAAATTTGAAGGTAAGGATGGAAATGTTTGCTAGAGATCTCTGCACAAGGTGTTACCTCATGGTGAGGCTGGGAGTGTTTGCAGAGAGGAAGAGATAGAACTCTAAACTAAATTTTAAGCATGACCTAGGAATCAACATGTGGCAAGAGAAATCATGGAGTAAGTGAGAATGAACTCGACTGAGTATTGGCCATTACGCAATGTAGCAAATCAAAGACAAGATTTCCGTATCAAGCCAAAAGAAGTGTCATTATTTCCACACTGATTTTTAAGTTGTGGATTGTTACATGTTTCTTAATATATTATTTACATTTCTTAAAAGCTGAGACAAGGATTTCTAATAGAACACCATACCCTATAAACAGTAGACTCTGAATTAATGCATAAGAAATAAATGAATGATCCATTTAATCCTTAAAGATGATACACATTATCTAGGCATCATTTGTACATTGGGCAAGCCCCCATATGAGAGAGATATTTGGGGCTGGAAGAGGGACATGTGAAATGCAGGCCTTAGATGGCATGAGACTTAAATAGTACCAGGTTGGCATCAGAAGGGAGGTTGAAATTTTATCTCTATCATCATCCTATCCCTTTGATAGTCAAGTGTCCAATAAAAGAGAAATCTCTAAGACATATTGGTTAGGCATGAGTAAAACAGAAAATATAGAGTCAAAATAATCTTACCAAAGTAGTGTTTCTCTGGCTTTGTCCACACTCACTCTGCAGGCCATTTATCCCCTCACAAAACTGTAGAGTATATAGTAATCATTGTAAGTTGCTAACTGTTATTTTTATATGTCTATCTGTTCATCACTAGGTTTGTTCCAAAAAGGATTTGAGATGGCTTGCACAAATACAGTAAGATAACAATAAAAATAATAGACACAATAAAATACATAGAAGGAAGTCAAGGTCAATACTGAGAACAAGAAAAGAAACTAAAACCAAGGGTATTATTCACCCACAGAATGCAGGATTTAGGGATCTGTGTACTTGCTATAAATGGGGTACAAAACTGTGATACTGAGCTTTCTTATATAAGCACTTGATCTTTGCTGGTATATTCTAATTCCTCGGGAAATCCAAGTTCCTGACAACATGAAGCCATAAGAGAATCTGTAGGGAAGGGATAAATTAGCATTTCTTCAGGTATACGATCCTATTTTCTTGGGTATAACACTATGGTACATTGCTAGTTTAAAAACTGTGATCAAAGATTTTCGATTCCTATAGCATGTTCTTTAAGGGAATTTTCATTTCTATTCTACCTTGCCACAATCCCACTTCTTTTTATCTTTTTAAAATAGAATCCTGCTGCTCCTTTAAGACAGTCATTCAAGGACAATCCTTGGATTTACTAGCACTGCTGTTTTAAATAAGAGATAACTAATTTGTTTATTTTTTTTTAAAGTCAATGAGATGAGAACTATATCCAGCTACTGAGAGTAATAAAAGTTGAGATATAAAATAGCTATACTTTATACTTCCATATTAAAGCTGATGGCAGGATCACTGTGAGCCATCTGGAGCTCATAGGTCTAAGAGTATGCACAGTTTAGATCTAATAAAGGCGGGCATGCATAGGTGTGCCAAGAGACACTCACCAAAAGTTGTGCTTCAAGGGCTGGAGAATAAAGCACACTCCCTGGAGTACAGCTGTGGTTTTCTTTACCGCTTTAAAATAAATGAAATTGTATTGACTTTAGCTTATAAAAGTCACAGACAGTTTTGGAGCCCCAAATTTCCTCTTCCCACAAAGCAATCACAAGCAGGAATATTACAAATGCTGAAAAAATTTTGGTACTAAGAATTAGGAGATTTAATTGGGGTATTATGGAAATTCATAAGCATGCTAAAAGTTTTGCGTGAAGCAGTTTGAGCATCTGAAAGTTGTGTTAGAGGATAAATGAATAAGCTGGTGCAGTGGCTCACGCCTGTAATCCCAGCACTTTGGGAGGCCAAGATGGGCAAATCATGAGGTTAGGGGATCAAGACCATCCTGGGCAACATGGTGAAACTCTGTATCTACTAAAAATACAAAATTCAGCTGTACGTGGTGGTGCATGCCTGTAATCCTAGCTGGTTGGGATGCTGAAGAAGGAGAATTGCTCGAACCAGGGAGTTGAAGGTTGCAGTGAGGCAAGATTCCAAGATTGTACCACTGCACTGTAGCCTGGTGACAGAACGAGACTCTGTAAAAACAAAAACAAAAACAAATGAAACAAAAACTCAGCCAGAAGATAAATGAATAAATTCATAAGAAGTATAGATAGGTTTGCCTGTCAACTCAATTAGTGTTCCTAGAAGTTTTATTTTCAGTTAGACACAAAGATTACTTAAATGGTCTTTCATGGGAGAGGACCACTTAACAGAAGGTAATAGGATCTCCAGTAGATTGTGGTCCTATAAAATAGGGCCTTCATCAGTTGGCCACCGTACGACCCTTCTATCTTAGAGTAACTTAACCTGAAGTTACCATTCTCCTATGCTTTATTTTACTCAGGTGTGAATTTTGTCGTCTAAAAGCCACTGAAAAAAAATGTATGGTCACTATATAAGTCAGAAGATGCTTCAGCCCAGTCCACAATTAAAAATTGCTTTGGTAGAATAACTGGCAATAAGCTAGGGGGCCAAAGAAGTCCCATTTTAAAGGAATAAAGTATAGACTAGGTTATGGTTTGATGTAGAGCCTCCCTCTACCCAGGAGCATTCATTCATTTTAGGCTGACATTTGATATCTCAATACAAACAATTAAGCCAGAGCAATAAAAGGATATATTCAAAGTGTTGAAAGACATGAACACCAACCAATAGTTCTATAGCCAACAAAAACATCTTTTAAATATGAAGAGGAGCAGAAAATAGTTTGACAAAACCCATTGCCTCCTCATAAAAACACTCTAGAAACTAGGAATAGAAACAACATTTTTCAACTAGATAATGGATATTCATAACAAACCAACAGCCAACATAGAATATAATGCTGAAAGATGGACTATTTTCCCCTAAGATCAGGAAAAATACAAGAATTTATATTTTTGGCATTTCCATTCAACATTGTGTTGGAGGTTCTAGGAAAAGAAAGAAAAGAAGGAGGGAAGGAAGAAATGAGGAAGGAAAGAAAAAAGAAAGAACTATAATTGCTTCTGTTTGCAGATGACATTGTCTTATGTACAGAAAATCTGAAGAAATCTACTAAAGGACAAAACAATAAAAACAAAACCCATCAGAACTAATAAACTAATTCAGCAAGGTTGCAAGACACAGTCAATGTGCAAATCAATTTTGTTTCCATAAATTAGGAACAAACACTCTGGAAATATAAGAAAACAATCCATTCATAATTACATTAAAAAGAACAAAATACTTAGAAATAAATTTAAGAAAGAAGTACAACATTTATAGTCTTAAAGTTATAAAACATTTTGAAACAAAACTACAGAAGACACAAATAAATGGAAAGATATTCTACATTCATTGATTGGAAAACTTAATATTGTTAAGAGGGCAATACTCCCAAACTTGAACCCCAGATTCAATACAATCTCTATCAAAATCCCAGCTGGCTCCTCTGCATTAGCTGATCTGAAAATGCATGCAGAAATTCAAGGGACTAAGAATAGCTTAAGTAATCTTTTTTTTTTTTTTTTTTTTTTTTTTTGAGACGGAGTCTCGCTTTGTCACCAGGCTGGAGTGCACTGGCCTGATCTCGGCTCACTGCAACTTCCACCTCCCGAGTTCAAGTGATTCACCTGCCCCAGTCTCCTGAGTAGCTGGGACTACAGGCGTGCACCACCACACCCAGCTATTTTTGTATTTTTGGTATACACAGGGTTTCATCATGTTGGCCAGGATGGTCTGCATTTCTTGACCTCATGATATGCTCGCCTCTGCCTCCCAAAGTTCTGGGATTACAGACGTGAGCAACCATGCCCAGTCTTAGATTAAATAATCTTAAAAAACAAACAAACAAATAAACAAAGTTGAAGGACTCACAGTTCCTGATCTCAATTTTTTTTTTTTTTTTTTTTATGTTTTTGTTTTTGTTTAAATAGGATCTGGCTCTGTTGCCCAGGGCACAATGATCTTGGCATACTGCAACCTTTGCCTCCCAGGCTCAAGTGATCCTCCTGCCTCAGCTTTCTGAGTAGCTGGGACTACAGGCACACATCACTACACCTGGATAACTTTTGTGTTTTTCTGTAGAAATGAGGTTTCACAATGTTGCCTAGGCTGGTCTCAAACTCCTGGGCTCAAGCCATCTGCCTGCCTTAGTCTAACCAAGTGCTGGGATTACAGTTGTGAACCACTATGTCTGTTCCCCTGATTTCAAAACTTTAAAGTTTACTAAAAAGCTAGCATAATAAAAATAGTGTGGTGTGGCAGAAGGATAGACACATTGATGGACTAGATTTGAGAGCTCAGAAATAAACTGTCATATTTATGGTGAATTGATTTTTGACAGGGGTGCTAAGAATATTCAATGGGAAAATAAGTGTTTTTACTAACTGGTGCTTGGACAACTGGATATATACATGCAAAATAAGGAATCTGAACTCCTTTTTCATACCATACGCAAATATTAACTCAAAATTATTATAATGCAAATGTAAGAACTAAAACCATAAAACTCTAAGAAGCAAATACAGGAGTAAATCTTTGTGACCTTGGCATAGGAAAAGCCACCTTGGGATCACAAAATCACGTGTCCAAAGGTAAATATAAACTGTACTTCATTATAATTAAAAGCATTTATGGTTCAAAGATATCAGCAAGAAAGTGAAAATTTAATTCCCTGTATGAGAGAAAATTTTGCAAATCATAAAGCCGATAAGGCATTTGTACCTAGAATATGTAAAGAACAATTAAGGTCAATAATAAAAAGACAAATGACTCCATTAAAAAGCAGGCAGGATCTGAATAGACATTTCTCCAAAGACAATATACAAATGGCCAATAGGCACTGGAAAATATACTCAACATCATTAGCCATCTGGAAAATGCATGTCAAAACCGTAGTGAGACACCACTTGGCACCCACTGGAATGGCCATAATCAAAAAGACAGATCATAACAAATGTTAGGATGTGGAGAAACTGGACCCTTCATAGATTGCTCATGGGAAAGTAGCATGGTGCAGATACATTGGAAAACATTCTAGTAGTCCTGAAATTATAAGTGAATCACTTCATAAAAAACTCATATTGTATGATTCCTTTTATAAGAAATATCAGAATAAGCAAATTATAGAGACAGGAAGTAAATTAATGGTAATCTAGGACTGAGTAGGTTGGAGTAAAATGGAGAGTAATTGCCAACAGAGAGTGGTTGACTGATGAAATTTTAATATAACATTTCTCAGGAAATAACAGAACAAACAAAAATCAGTAAGAATAAGGAATTTAAACAGCATGGTCAACACATTTGTCTTAATTGACCTACACATACATAAGAGAAGCAACTACAGAAAACTTCTTCTTTTATATCATACATAGAATATTATTAAAAATTGACCATAGTCTGAGCCATAAAGCAATTTTTAAGAAATTTCAAAGGACTGAAATCACATAAAGTATAGTTTGTGATAACAAGATAGTTAAATTACATATTTTAAAGAATCAAAATCGACAGCTAGAAGAATATTGCAATGGAAAGTATAAAATATTTTGAACTGAATAATACAAATCAATATACTAAAGCTTCAAGGATACAGTTAAAATCATATCTGGAGGGAAATGTATATCTTTAAATGTCAATATTAGAAAATAAAGCTATACAGCAATAAGCTATAAGCATCTATGTAAAATATTTAGAAAATCAACAAAAAATAACCACAAATAAAACCAAAAAAAGGAGGGAAATTAGAAAGATAAAAATAGAGGTCAGGAGCAGTGGCTCATGCCTGTAATCCCAGAACTTTGGGAGGCTGAGGTGGATGGATCGCCTGAGGTCAGGAGTTTGAGACCAGCCTGGTCAACATGGTGAAACTACATCTCTATTAAAAGTATAAAAAATTAGCTAGGCATAGTGGCAGAATCCTGTAATCCCAGTTACTCAGGAGGCTGAGGCAGAAAAATTGCCTGAACCTGGGAGGTGGTGGTGCCACTGCACTCCAGGTTCGGCATCAGAGCGAGACTCCGTCTCAAAAAAAAAAAAAAAAAAAAAAAAAAAAAAAAAAAAAAAAATCAAAAAACCGAAAACCAAAAAACAAAAAGAAAGTATAGAAAATAACAAAATAAAGCACAAATGAAAAATAAGTTCTTCTTGAAAAGCTTAAAAACTTCATAAACTCTCATGAATATAGTCAAGAGAAAAGGAGAGAAAGCACTAATATCCAATGTCAGGAATGGGCATAGGGAAGCATAGTAAATCCTTCAGATATTCAAAAGCTAATAGAAAAATATGAATAATTTTCTGCCAAAATATTTTAAAATTTAGATAAAAGAGATACATTCCTAGAAAAAACTACTTGTCAAAATTGGCAGCAGAAAAAATAAGAATTTAGAATAGTCCTATAACTATTAAAGGTATTAAGTCAGTTATTAAACATTTTTCCACAAAGAAAATTACAGGGTCTGATGACTTAACAAGCAAATTTTATTAACAACTAAGGAAGAAATAAGTCATTTATTAAACAACTTTTCCACAAAGAAAACTCCAGGGTCGGA